CCAATATGTACTACCTTGGACATGATTTAGCAAGTATTCATAACACTGTTTGTAAGTCTCACTTTTGTACCAATGAGATAAATAATCCTCTGGAGTTTTCCTCATTAATAGTATGACACTCATAGCATGAGCTCATATAACTGCTGATAAATCCCACAATTTACACGAACAAGTCTTTTTGCCCAAGTGGATTGCATGACTCACACCTTTATGAAGTATTTCAAATTCTTCCTCATCATCATTTCTATTCCAATGTGGTTTACAATGCATTTGTTCAGCATAAACAAGCTTTAGTTTCTTGTGTATTCTAGGAGAAATACCACCAACTAAATTTCTTAAAACTTTTTTTTTTCTCTTGCATTCTATCCATCAAAGCAAGCCTAGTATCTTCTAGCATTGAAATTATGGGTTTGTATCTTGCAAGAATGATGAAAGAGTTAAATGTCTCAGCCATATTGTTATCAACAGAATCACATTGGCTATGGCATTTAAAGTGTGACTTACAAAAAGTATGAGGATCCCTTGCCATGAAATCCTCGTATGTCCTTTTTGAGTATATTTTGAGTTTTGGCCACCTCCCTTGCAAAACCACTCATTGCAGTTGCCTTTACACAATGCTAAAATTGCTTTTATAGTAACCTTCCACCATGATCTTTCCTCCAATTAAAATATATGTGTCTAGCACATTGTCTATGCTTTAATTGAGGCCAAACTTCATGAATAGCTAGAACCAACCACTAGTTAAAGCAAACATTCAGTCAAACATCATACAAGAACATTAAATAGCCTCTGTTGATGGTTATAATCACACAGTCGAATAAATCGGAAGATTGATGGGAATGGGGGCCGCTTGCTCTTTCGAGTATCCGGTTTGAGGATGAGGTGACCTGTTTCTGTGAAAAATACATTGAGTTCGTTAGAGGGCGGGGCCTAACTTCCCCGTTATACTTCCGACGATCAAGTTAATGGCCTTTTTTTATAGTTAAAAAGGATTATAAACTGGATTGTCTATTGGCTCGCGCGCGTCTCTACCTTAGTTTCTCTTGCGGTAGTCTTTTTATAGTCGGGCAGGGGGATAGATCGGTAATTCGACCGAATCTGAGCTGGCAGTAGAGTCAGCATCAGCCCCACAGGTGTTGCCATATGGGTGGTGACTGGGGATGATGGTGGACATCATCTCACCATAAATGCGACGGGACAGGCAATGCACGAAGCGGGTGTGATCCGATGTACCTTAAATAGTGTCGGAGGCATGGTAATGATGGCTAGACTGTCCATCATTAAATGCGAAGTCGACGGGTTGTCAGTGGGGGAATTCGAGATCAGGGTCGTCTTTTGGTTTGTGGCGAGGGGACGGTTGGTACCGCCTCTCGAGTTGACCAAGCTAAAAGATGACAAGGCCAGCCGTCCAGGCCAGTCGTCCCTGGAAGCCTTTGGGATAACTACCTCTTTGCCTTGTCAGGTCGGGTCATGGGCATTTGTCCGCCGTTAGCAAGACCCGATATTCGGGTGAACAGAAATCACATAACAGCCTCTAAATAAAAGTATAACACAAATAAACAAACATGTAAATACATTTTGTTGATCTGACGTACTATCCATCCTTCACCATCTTTCATATTGAGATCATCAGATAATATTCTTATAAACCATCCCCAAGAGTTCTTAGTTTCACCCTCTATGACAGCCTATGCTATTGGCCACATCTTCTTGTTGCCATCTCTTCCTACGGCACATAGCAATTGGTCTTCGCAAGTATGCTTTAGAAAGCATCCATCAAGTTCAAAAATAGGTCTACAATAGTTGATGAAACCCATTTTCATGGCTGCATAATATACATGATTCAACTATATATGAATAAGCCAAATTAAAATACTAAGTGGCAATTTGTACTGAAATATAAAGATAAAAAGATTGCTCTATTTGAATAGGCTAACTTACATGCAAACGATACATAGAATCTTTGAAAAACTACTGGTTGTGCTGAATCTAATTTTTTCTAGTAACCTTAAAAAATGTAAGTAGTCTCCTCATTGCTTCTACGAAGCTCTCTCAAATATGATTTTAGCAAACCATACTGCTTCTTCAATAGCCAATCCGCTGCGTTCATAGCCTTTTCTTTTGCCCTTTGACATTTCCTTAAGCACATATTGATATCATATGTTGAACTCATCTCTTCTTTAATTTCTGCAGTCTTCAATCTTGGATTTCTTAAAAACTTCTCAAGATACTCATGTGCAAGCCAATTTTTAGTGATTCAACCACTCTTGAAGGTCCTACTGCACGTATGATGAGGGCTAATGCTCTTGATTTGCCAAACATCATCATCATCTCCCTCTTGTCCTGCATTTAGCTCCCAATGACATAAAGAACAACCAATATTAATCCTTTTTCTATCATTCTTCAGATAAAGCAAGTCATAGCGTTGCTGAATGGAGTAGCTGAGGATTGCTTCTTTTAAAATCTTTGTCGAAGTAAACATTAACCCTGGAGTGAGTTGAACTGCTTTCATATCCACTTCCTCATTAAAGAAACTATACTATACTTTTTTTTTTCTTTTTTAGCATTCCTCTGCTGACCGGAGCTTCATCATCATTATGCACCAAGGGTTCTTCATCATCACTTTCCCTAGGATCAGACTCATATCCACCTTCATAGGTAGTCCAGTATTGAGGCCACTTGGATTTGTTAACAATTGTCCCTCTAGATGACATTGGAGTCCTTGTGTTTAAGCCTTCAGCTTGAACAAATGTTGCTTCATGAGAGTGATTTGATATAGCCTCATCTTCATTTGGAGCATTTACATTTTCATTATCAACTCTACTAGGTTGTACAACATTATTAAATAGGATCCGAGGCCCTTTCTGCATTCTAATTTAAAATGGTAAATTACGTTAAACCCCGCAAATACTTTAGAATTTTGGGGTTAATCGTGGCAAATTAAAAATAATGGGGGTATCTAGTGGTGAGCACTTTTTGGTGCAAACTGATTAAATTGACTGAATTTCTTGGATTCAGTCCATTTTTAGCAAATTGTAAGTTCAAATCATTTCTGTTTTAGAATATTTGATAATAAAATAACAGAACCGACACCTCTTAACATAATTGTCTAAATCTCACAATCTCTAGTGGTGGATAAGTAATTTACACTAATACTTTTTATGTATCTTAAATGTCAAATGATACAGGTTTGGTTTTAATTTGTGAAGCAGTTGATTTATAAAGGTCGCTCTTTAACTGAGATTATGCAATGAGTGAAAAGTTTGAATGAGTAAGAATTTTGTCCTTTTTGGCTAAATTTTTTCCAACTTTACATGTCTAGGACCAAACCGAACCGAATAGCACAGAACAAACCATTTGGTCACCCCAAAGGTTGTTTGAGACACTTTGAAAATTTGAGCGCTAAAACTAGAAACTACTGTATCGTTTAAGTCCGAGAAACAAAATATGTAGGGTATTCTGAGAAGCACCACAAAGTCTATTTATGCCCTTGTATATGTATGAGGTGAGTGTGCGTGGTCGCAGGGGCTAAGAAATTTGCTTTTAAATTAATCAATCACAAATTTAAGACTTGGATGTCTCTGTCCGCGCTTCATTGCTTTAGGTACACTAATTGTTTGATAATTTCCTTAACTTTGGATAATTATCAAAAAGCTACGACTCACAATGTTTAGGAGGATTTCATGATAAAATCTTAGAGTTAAACTTGAGAGGGATTTTTTGATATCTGTGTACAAAGAAAAGAAACAATAGTGAATATACAAAATGTCTGTTTGGTTGGTGGATATGCACAACTATACACTAGATTATAGTTCTGTAAGGCAATAGAAGAACAGCACAAGAATGCAAATTTCGGGTTAGTTTCAGACTATTGCGTAGTACACATGCAAATTGTGATAGATGTCATATTGGACATATCAGATTTAATATGTGAATTAAATTTCGATAATATAATATTCATGTGCAACATGTATGCGGAACTAAAACACTAGTATTCAATTTCACTATCATAGAATGCCATTTTCTGCTTTCTAAGTGAAAATGTTCAAGCGGTTTTTTTTGTCCCCTCTTAATTTGATTCATAAGGATCTAGATCAATAGAAAATAAAGACAATGATAAAACAAGTACCGCATTATCAAAGGCGTAACTGTGTATCATGTTAACTTCTTATTTGGTGATTACAAAAAATGTATGAATTTTTCTAGCTAATCTTTGCATAAATTAATGGGTGGGAGAAAGGGAGAGAGTTTTGCATTACTTCTGTCCCGAGTGAGCAAGCTTGCATAGGAGAATGCCCGAAAGGATCACGTCGCCATCCTACTCGAGTTGATCAGTCATGTGAATGTAATGCACTGTGGCGTCTTCATGCACTCCCTAGCCATCATTTCTACATCAGAAACAAAAAAAATTGTTGACATGAATAGGTGAAGGGCAATGACTGCAGTAACTATAGAGAGCCACCATACTTCGATTACAAGCAGGGATCTCTCAACCCTGTGATCTTCAAACATGATCATCTACACGTTGTTCGAGTTTTAGATGGGTGAACATGAAAGCAGTTAGACGTCTTGACTGCCCTGCATAACCGTCTTAGAGAGAAGGGTCGAATTGGTCGCACAGAAAATACATTAAAAACAAGATAATGCCCCCATCTAAAATCAAGGTAGTGTAATAACTAACAGCAGTAGCAAATTGCTATAAAGTTTTCGTCAACACAATTATATATAGGCCAGCTGCCTGACCTTTATTACCAAATATTCGTCCAAATTCAATAAGCGTGGAACTCCAGCTGCCTGACCTTTATTACCAAATATTTGTCCATATTCAATAAGCGTGGAACTATAATCAGCAGCTCATATTATGTTCCACTATCATCAGCAGCTCATATTATGTAGTAATAAAATACAACAGAAGCTCATAATATGTAGTAATAAGATACAATAGAAAATTTCCCTCAACAATCATGTAAGTCCAAGTACTTGCAAATAAGAACAAAATAAGGAAGAGTCACGCTACTACATTTTAAGTAGTAATACAATACAATAGAAGCTCATAATATGTAGTAATACAGATCAGGACAAAATGAGGAAGTGTCACACTACTACATTTTATGCAGTAATACAATACAATAGACACTGATAATATGTAGTAATACAATACAACAGAAGATCTTCCTTAGCAATCATGTAAGTCAAAATACTTACAGATCAGAACAAAACGACAGAAAGTGTCACACTACTATATTTTACTACGTCTAGTTTCGTTTGAAGCCACAAGAAAAATGCCCAGCCTATCACTACATTAGCAAAGCTACACGCGCCGGCGGGTAAAAGTCTCTCAAGCAGCTCCTCTTTCTCAGTTTTCAGCATTTCATTCTCTGCTTGAAGAACTCGAGTCGCCCTCTCCAACCCATTGACCAAAGCATAGGGTCCCTCGACATATTTCTTCCATTGGTGGCAGGCCCAGTGGACAAAATCGAAGTGCAATTGCTTCCTTTCAATCATAAGATGTTTTTTGCAACTGTGGCCAACTTAGTACAAGTCTTTATAACTTCCCAATCATCTGCAGCCAACCTTACACTCGTTCATCTTGTTCCAAGCTGAGCGTAGATCGCAGGCCTCCCTACAAGATGAAACAAACTATTAATATTAAAAAATATTTCTTGGGGGGTCAGGTTGTAGAAACTAACAAATGCATGTATATATATTACCTTTTTGCTGCTGATAGATGTACTGGTGGTACGAGGCGCTCACGATCTTCTCTAAAAACATGAAGGAAAGCGTACTGTATCCCTGGTAACAAAATATTACATCAAAAAATAATATGAAAAATAAGTTTATATACACACGCACATTTGTAAAGATCTTACATTTCATCGGGTTCTAATGTATCCTCCGAAACAGCACCAACAGCTTCATTTTCTTCTGAGTTACCATCACCACGATCACTGATAAGAGTAGAAAAAAAGTCTTGTACATGCAATATTTATTTTGAAACTGAGGTGCTAAAACAATTACTTCAAGAAAAAAATATTACTATTCCACCAACCATAAGAGGAATCACTAGACATGAGAAATCTTCTATAATGTAGAAGTCGGATTTTAATATATGACTTTATGCTTTCGCATAGTCTAAAGCCGGTAGTAATAGGGTTAAATATGAAATGTTGCACCGGTTATAGCTTTTAATATTGCAAGCACTAGAAAACTTATATTATCAAAAACTATCAAATGCCTCTTAGTACGTCCTAAGAGGGTAGAATACTAAGAGATTTTTGCAAAAACTACTTTTGAATTACTTCTCTCAATCAACTCCCAACACAAGAAATCTAGGTAAAATCAATTCTAAGAAATATCATGAAAAACAAGGAAATTGTAGTTTTGTTATTTTATAGAAAACAACCAAATAGCTCTTAATTTATCTTAATACTATTCTACATGTAATAATTACAATGTTATAACTAGAAAAAAATCATACCTCTTCAAATTAAATAAAGTGTATGTGCATTGCATAAAGATGCTAATCATGGAGACTTCTCTAATCCATTGTCCTAAATATCCCTGATATAGCCCAATTAGTGATCCTAAACATATATTATTTACATTTGATTTCATTAAGTACATTCGGATTGCATTTTAGTGCATTATATTATAAATGTAAAAGTTACTTGAACCCGAGACATGATTCAAGAGCTTAAGCATTCAAGAGCTTAAGCATTGATGTAAGGGCTTAAATATCACCACTTTTACGCAACTTGGAGATTAGGTTATCAGCCCCAAAAATTAGTCTCACATCTTTAAAATTCCCCATAAGCCCCTCAAATCCTAATTCTTGCAAATTGATTCCAAAATGACAAAAATGCCCTTATCTTATGCCCCTAAAAAAAACCTCTGGTTCAAAAAAACAAAAGACGATGGGAATTTTGGTCATTGAGAGACCAATTTGCAAGATCCCTTGGGATGTAAGAGACTAATGAGCAAATTACAAAAAACATGAAATTAAAAACAAGAACAATGTCTGGAAACATAAATAAATAAAAAGTGTTAAGAATAACAGATAGAACTTCAACTTAAATGACAAAAATGCCCTCATCTTATGCCCCAAAAAAACCCCTCTGGTTCAAAAAAAACAAAAGACGATGGAATTTTGGTCATTGAGAGACCAATTTGCAGGATCCCTTGGTATGTAAGAGACTAATGAGCAAATTGCAAAAAGCATGAAATTAAAAACAAAAACAATGTCTGGAAACATAAATAAATAAAAAGTGTTAAGAATAACAGATAGAACTTCAACTACGATCGTGGTAAAACTCTCTAAAAATAATGAAAGAATAAAAAATAATAAGCAAGCTAAAAAGAGCATTAAAAACATGAAGGAATGGTGACAGGCTAAATACTTTTAGCTCAAAATATATTAAGACAATAAATCATACTCTGTAGAAAAATTGGATTACATGACAAACTATAAAACATGGTCAGAACAAAAAATTCAACAAGATTTACCCATCGATATTGGTACCATCTCCAGCCTTGTATGGTGTATGTTCCCTAAAAAAATCACAGAAAAGTAAATAAAACCCCAAAAAAAATAAATAGAAAACCATAAAATTCTGGATTCTATTAGACTGAATAAATTCTAGAAGGGGATTGACCGGAAAAAAACATGTACTGACAACAAACTGAAATCATAAACAAAAAAGATTGTTTCTTTAAAAAAGGAAATAAAAAAACCATTGAGAAATAGCAAGGCAATGTAAATAAATTAGGGGGGCTAATAAGCAAGAAAATAACACCTGACCTACTGCAAAAATACACTAAAAAGCACAGTAAAACAAAATAATTTAATAAAACTTACTCACGGATTGCGGTACTATCTCCATACTCAGGTAGTGCAAGTTTCCTGGAAATAAAATTCACAGAAAATTAAAAAAACCCTAAGGAAACTAAAATAAAAGCAAAATCTATTAATATAATAAAGAAAAATAAAAAATTATGGTAAAAAACAAAAGCAAGAAAATAGATAGGTTTTTTTATTGAAATTTCTCTTTAAAAAAGATAGATTTCTCTAAATCAAAACAACTAAAAGGATTATAATAAAAAAACTCACCTTTTTCGGAGAGGAAGTAAATGGTTGTCCATTGTATGAAGTAAATGAAGTAAAATTTTGACAAAATGAACAGGTTTATATTAGGAGAAAAATGAGTGAAACACCCTTTTTTTCCCTCTCATTACGATTTTCTGTTGATAAACTAAAACAATGGGTGTAACACCCTTTTTTAAATCTCTGATTTTTTTAACGAGTGTACACACATTGCGTTTTGAAAAAAATTAAAAAACTTTTTACTATAATAAAAAATAAAAATAAGAAAAATAAGAAAATTAACCTTAATCTATCGCTCTGAGTCTCTACGAGGAGAAGCGGAAGAGGCACAAACCTTAGCTCCGCTGTATAAATAGTTTTTGCAAGCGGGTCGGTTAGTTTAGGGCGCATGAGTAACCAATAAATAGGATTTGAGGCCCAAGACGCTGGTAAACTAATCGGCCCGCTGGTGGATTCGAGGAGGATTAAGTCCAAGACATTGGTGGGGGGGGCCTCTTTGAGGTCGTTTTTGTTGTCAAAATTTGAATAAGCTTTTATTGGTTACCCATGCGTCCTAAACTAACCGACCCGCTTGCAAGAACTATTTATATAGCGGAGCTAGGGTTTGTGCCGCTTCCGCTTCTTCTCCTCGCAGAGACACTCAGAACGAGAGATTAAGGTTAATTTTCTTATTTTTCTTATTTTTATTTTTTATTATAGCAAAAAGTTTTTTTAATTTTTTCAAAACGCAATGCGTGTACACTCGTTAAAAAAATCAGAGATTTAAAAAAGGGTGTTTCACCCATTGCTTTAGTTTATCATCAGAAAATCGTAATGAGGGGGAAAAAAAGGTGTTTCGCCCATTTTTCTCCTAATATAAACTGTTCATTTTGTCAATTTTTTACTCCATTTACTTCATACAATGGACAACCATTTACTTCCTCTCCGAAAAGGTGAGCTTTTTTTATTATAATCCTTTTAGCTATTTTGATTTAGAGAAATCTATCTTTTTAAAGAGAATTTCAATAAAAAAACCTATCTATTTTCTTACTTTTGGTTTTTTCCATAATATTTTATTTTCCTTTATTTTATTAATGGGTTTTGCTTTTATTTTAGTTTCCTTGGGTTTTTTTAATTTTCTGTGAATTTTATTTCCAGGAAACTTGCACTACCTGAGTATGGAGATAGTACCGCAATTCGTGAGTAAGTTTTATTAAATTATTTTGTTTTACTGTGCTTTAGTGTATGTTTGCAGTGGGTGAGGTGTTACTTTCTTGCTTATTTGCCCCCCTAATTTATTTACATTGCTTTGTTATTTCTCAATGGGTTTTTTATTTCCTTTTTTTAAAGAAATAATCTTTTTTATTTATGATTTCAGTTTGTTGTCAGTACATGTTTTTTCCGGTCAATCTCCTTCTAGAATATATTCAATCTAATAGAATCCGTAGTTTTATGGTTTTCTATTTATTTTTCTTGGGGTTTTATTTACTTTTCTGTGATTTTTTAGGGAACATACACGATACAAGGCTGGAGATGGTACCGATTTCGATGGGTAAATCTTGTTGAATTTTTTGTTCATACCATGTTTTATAGTTTGCCATGTAATCCAATTTTTCTGCAGAGTATGATTTGCTATCTTAATATATTTTGAGCTAAAAGTATTTAGCATGTCACAATTCCTTCATGTTTTTAATGTTCTGTTTAGCTTGCTTATTACTTTTTATTCTTTCATTATTTTTAGAGAGTTTTACCACGATCGTAGTTGAAGATTTAAGTTGAAGTTCTATCTGTTATTCTTAACACTTTTTATTTATTTATGTTTCCCGACATTGTTATTGTTTTTAATTTCATGCTTTTTGTAATTTGCTCATTAGTCTCTTACATACCAATGGATCCTGCAAATTGGTCTCTCAATGACCAAAATTCCCATCGTCTTTTGTTTTTTTGAACCAAAGGGGTTTTTTGGGGGCATAAGATAAGGGCATTTTTGTCATTTTGGAATCAATTTGCAAGAATTAGGATTTGAGGGGCTTATGGGGAATTATAAAGATGTGAGACTAATTTTTGGGGCTGATAACCTAATCTCCAAGTTGCGTAAAAGTGGTGATATTTAAGCCCTTAAATCAATGCTTAAGCTCTTAGTTCAAGCTCTTGAATCGTGTCCTAGGTTCAAGAAACTTTTACATTTATAGTATAATGCACTAAAATGCAATCCGAATGTACTTAATGAAATCAAATATAAATAATATATGTTTAGGATCACTAATTGGGCTATATCAGGGATATTTAAGACAATGGATTAGAGAAGTCTCCATGATTAGCGTCTTTATGCAATGCACATACACTTTATTTAATTTGAAGATGTATGATTTTTTTCTAGTTATTACATTGTAATTATTACATGTAGAATAGTATTGAGATAAATTAAGAGCTATTTGGTTGTTCTCTGTAAAATAACAAAACTACAATTTCCTTGTTTTTCATGATATTTCTTAGAATTGATTTTACCTAGATTTCTTAGCCTCTGATGGTACGGTCCTTCGTTGGCACTCTTCGTGGAGCCGCCTTCGATTGGTATCGTCGCCTCATGCCAGGAAGCGTGAATAGCTGGGACGACATGAAAACTAAGTTCCTCGCTAATTTCTTCGACGACGACACCGAGATATCCATCGGAACGTTGCTCGATGAGAAAAGTAATTCAAAAGTAGTTTTTGCAAAAATCTCTTAGTATTCTACCCTCTTAGGACGTACTAAGAGGCACTTGATAGTTTTTGATAATATAAGTTTTCTAGTGCTTGCAATATTAAAAGCTCTAACTGGTGCAACATTTCATATTTAACCCTATTACTACTGGCTTCAGACTATGCGAAAGCATAAAGTCATATATTAAAATCCGACTTCTACATTATAGAAGATTTCCCATGTCTAGTGATTCCTATTATGGTTGGTGGAATAGTAATAACTTTTTTCTTGAACTAACTGTTTTAGCACCTCAGTTTCAAAATAAATACCTGAGATATGATTGAAGGCGAAGTAGCCTTCAACGAAGACTCTGGTGCCTACAAATAAACACCAATCACATGCATACCACCTATCAACATTCTCGAAACCTGAAAACAAAAGAAAAAATCACTCCAAATTCTTCAACCAGATCACAAATTTCTCAAATTAATCCTCTTTTTACTTGTCTAGCGTGCTCAGCGACCCAATCCGCTGTCAATTCCGATCGAAGGCGGCGACTCATTCGAAGATTTCCCGCCTCTGGATTCTTCTTGTCCTCTCTGGTAGCAGGTTCTGATTTGAGAGCCCAAGTGGGAGATCCACCGTCAGTGAGAGGAGTTGGGATCAGATCGTACACAAAACCTCGCATAATTAGGGCTTAGCTTGCCGATGATAATGCCAACCTGTTGACGAGTAATTGAGATAAGACTGTAGAGAGAAATCTAAAAACTTGAGAGATTTGGATTGAGAATTTGAGAGAGGGAGTACTTGAGAGATGACTGAGGATTGAAATAGGCGATTTTCTAGGGATTTGGCGGCTGGCATCTGGCGGCGGAGTGCCGAGAAGGCGGAAATGGAGATTGGAGAATGAGGCCCTGCGGCGCCGGACAGGGAGTGAGAGAGAGGAACTGAGGAGGGGAAGTGGCGGCTGGGATTTTAGGGTTTACTTGTTGAGTCGGGTTTGAGGGTTAACGGGTATTGGGTGGACAAATTTTCAAAACATCTTGTTTCTAGGTTACGTACATTTATGTGCATTTTGTGTGAGTCTGGTAATAATATCGCAGAAAATATGCTCATCTGGTACATAATTTGTAGTGTTCTCTTCATTTGAATCCGCAATTTTATACTTGCTTTAACAAAACATAAGGCATTAGAATGGAACATGAGATCGTAGTGCAAATTTTGGACTTTCAATCGTTTCAACCAACTCAAATTACATATATATCAACAAAATACTATCATGACACAACATCCAATTTGATCATAATACAGCTTACAACACACCACATAACATTACATTAATCTAGGTAAAACCAAACCGAATTACACCAATGAAGAACAACCATTTCACATATCACAACACAAACAATTATTAACAAAATACATAAGTAAATAGCATACAATCAAACATAATATCAAATAACACGTTGTCTTCCTCTTTTCTTCTACAAGTGCAGCTAGCCTGTAATTTTGATATTACATTCCTCAATTTCACGACCTCTTCCAAAGAGATTCAGGTTCATGTTGAGCCTATTCAATCTCTTCTTCAAGCTTTATAATATGCCCATGGCATCCTCTTAGCTCGTTCTCACCCCTTGCAATCATCTCCTCTTTAACAAGCAAAGTGTTCTTCAAACTAGTGGTTTCTTTGCTAAATAGGCTTATCAAACCACTCCCACAATCCACAGCCATTGGCCTACTGTTATGCCAAAAAACAAAACAAGATGAGATGAAAATACAGAAAAATAGAAAAATGTTGCTATTTGTTGGCCCAAAAAGTAAAACTGGCTCATTACCTAGAGGTCTGGTTGTTCCCTTTTCATTCCCTTTCACATTTTCCTTGTAATCAAATGTCTGCTGTCAACAGTTGAGTCCCATCTCCATTTGTTGTAGGTCGGCTCCCACCTCTATTTTCTTCCCTAGGCCATCCCTTCATTGTCGGTCCCCTCCACTATATAGCAATTGAGAGAGACTGAGAGAAATATGAGGACTACGGAGTGGAGTAGAACTTGAGCTCTGTGCTCTGGAGATCTGAGTGATCCTCTTCCCCTTTTATGCGATCCCCTTCCTCTTTGTGAGTGATTAATAGAGAATATCAGTGAGCTTCCCTTTGTGTTCTTGGTGGTGCACTAGAGAGAAGATCGAGGACTGATTTCAGCAGACCTCTGAGCCAAACGACAACGCAGATCCTCAACAGTGGTATCAGAGCGAGGTTAGTGTCGATGTGCTTCAAAACCGCCGTCGATCGCCGCTGGATCGCCACTGGACTTCGCCGGACCGCCGCCGCGTAGGTAAGGTCGAAACCCTCCCCTAGGGTTTCGCTCAGGTGAGGTGACGGAAATCTGTTTCTGTAGTTATTAGCTTGATCTTGTCTGCATCGCCATCTTTGAAGTTCCTGTGCATTCAATCTGATTAATCTCTGGCTTTGTTGAAAAATTACAGTAAATCTTTGGGTATGTTAAATTTTTTCAGAAATTAAAATACTGTTTTTTGGGAGTGCTCGTGTGAAAGATCAAAGAGATTGAAACAAGAACTTTGTGTTCATCGTTCTTCTCATTTGTTCGTGCTAGTTGCTTCACACGTTTCGAGCCGGATAATTACCAAAATCGTGCTATTTTTTTGCTGTTTGTTTTTCTGTGTGAAAAATGTCCGCTGCTAATCAATATAGTATGATTCAATATGGTATGGCGCCGTTCAACGGAAAATCTGATTTTAGCATTTGGAAACAAAAAATAAAATGCATCTTAATTCAACAGAAGTCCGTTAGGGCTGTTGGTCAGACTTATTTAACCTCTGACACTGAAAATAAACGGGCGGAAATGAACGAAAATGCTTGTTCCACAATTTATTTGAACTTATCTGACTCTGTGATCAGAAAAGTTGGAATTTTGGACTGTGCTAAAACTCTTTGGGATAAACTTGAAGAACTCTACACTGAAACCTCTTTGCCCAGTAAAATGTTTTTGCTTGAAATTTTTTTTAAATTTAGATTGGATATGTCTAAGGACATTGAGGAGAACCTAGATGTTTTCACAAAACTTATTTCAGATATTAAGTTAACTGGTGATAAACATATAGATGATTATACTCCTATTGCCCTTCTAAATGCTATTCCTGACTCATATAGTGATGTGAAATCTGCTATTAAATATGGTAGAGATGAGGTTACCCTTGATGTTGTGGTCAATGGTCTTAAGGGGCTGTTTGGTTCGTTTCCTTGATATAGAGAAATGCAATTTCATGTAAAGAAACACAAGTTTTAAGTTTTCCAAACTTTTCCAAGAAATAGATTGTTTTGCTTTGGTTCGCACATAAAAAATGGTGGGACACCAATGTATTTATTTTTCTTGTGTTTGGTTCGCATAGAAAAAAAAGAAAAACTTTTGTAAACAAAGCAGAGAAGGAAAAAATCTGACGTGGCAGAGTTTTCATCAATTTCACTTGGTTGGGGAAGGAAATCGGAGAGGGAAAAAATCTTAGTTGGCGGCGATTTCAGCAGAGTTTTCCCTCTTCCATCCGAGCGAACCAAAGCGGCACAAAGAAATGGACGGAAAAAAAAAACTGACGTGGAGGGCTAAAACTCTGACGTGGAGGGGTTTTCTGAGTTTTTTACCCCTTATAATAGCGAACCAAACAGCCCCTAAGAGTAAGGAATTAGATTTAAAACATTCTGGGGGAAATAAAAATTCTGGTGAGGTTATGCATGTGAGGGGTAGGCCTCAGAATAGGTCTAATTACCAAAAGAATGCTAGTAATGGGGAATCAAGTAAGAAAAAAAATTTGAAAATGGAAGGGGTAGATCTAAGTCCAGGTTTAAAGCTAAAAAATGCTATAATTGTCATGAAACTGGTCACTTTATTAAAGATTGTCCTAAGCCTAAGAAAAATCAGCAAAATGAACATGCTAATATGGCTGTCTGTGAGGGCAAAATGGGTGAGATTTTCATGATTAATAATCTATGTGATTATGCATATTTGAACTCTGTGTTATCTGATCCTTTGTGTAAATCAGATTGGTTGGTAGACTCTGGTTGTACTTTTCATATGACTCCTTTTAAAACCTTGTTTTCAAACTACAAGAAAATAGAGAATGGCTTTGTGTCAATGGCAAATGAAAAGAAATGCAATGTTTTAGGAACTGGTGATGTATGCCTTAGGTTTTCCTCTGGTTCTGTGTTTACTTTGAAGGATGTTAGGCATGTTCCTGATTTACGTTATAACTTGATTTCTTGTGCATCTCTAGAAAATGATGGTTTGGAGGGAAAATGGGGGTAAAGGGGTTATGAAAATTCTGAAAGGGTCTCTTGTTGTTTTTACTGCTAAAAAACAAAATAATTTGTATATATGTCATGCTGAACCTGTGCTTGATTCTGTTAACTCTGTGATAGGTGATAAATCTGTTTTATGGCATAATAGATTAGGTCACATGAGTAATAAAGGATTAGAAATTTTGCATAAAGGAGGTCACTTTGGTAGTGATAAAATATCCCCCATCCCTTTCTGTGAATCTTGTGTGCTAGGAAAACAACATAGGGTTACTTTTCCTACTTCTTCTTTTCCTAATCAGTCTAAGTGCACTAGTGTACTTGAATATTTGCATGCTGATGTGTGGGGTCCCTCTAGTGTGCCTACGCATGGAGGGAACCAATATTTTCTTTCCATAATTGATGATTATTCTAGGAAAGTTTGGGTTTTACTCATGAAACAAAAATCTGAAGTTTTTGATAAATTTAAAAACTGGAAAATTATGATTGAAAACCAAACGGGAAAGAAAATAAAAACTCTTAGGACAGACAATGGTCTTGAGTTTTGTAACAAACAATTGAATGATTTGTGTACTACTTGGGGTATTAAAAGGCATAAATCTGTTCCCTATACACCCCAGCAGAATGAGATTGCTGAAAGGATGAATAGAACTCTCTTAGAGATGGTGAGGGCTATGTTGGCCACATCTGGGCTCTCCAAGAAGTTCTGGGGAGAAGCTGTTTGTACTGCGGCCTATTTGATTAATAGGTCTCCTTCTGTTCCCTTAGGAGGGAAATGTCCTGAATTTGTGTTCACGGGCAAGCCTCTTGATTTAAATAATTTGAGAATTTTCGGAAGTGCTGGCTATGTGCATCAAAAGATTGATAAGTTAGAACCTTGATTTAAATAATTTGAGAATTTTCGGAAGTGCTGGCTATGTGCATCAAAAGATTGATAAGTTAGAACCTAGATCTAAGAAATGTGTTTTCTTAGGATATCCTGAAGGGGTAAAAGGTTATAGGCTTTGGAATAAGAGTGAACCGGGGTTTAATGTAGTGATAAGCAGAGACGTTGTCTTTAATGAAAAATGAATTTCCTTGTTTACCTTTACATGTTCCTATTCCTGAAAATGATGCTCCAAATGAGGTGGAGCAAAAGCCTATTATTAATCAACCCAAATCATTTCCTGAAGAAAAATTGAATGATATAATTATTGAAAATCAAGATGAGATTATTCCAAATGAGGTGGAGCATGATATGCAGGAAATAGATAACATGCATGATTTGAATGATTATCAACTCACTAGGGATAGAAATAAAAGAACCATTAGGAAACCTGAAAGATATAGAGATTGCAATTTGATTGATTGTAATATGTCTGAGTTTGCCTTTAATGTGTTTGAATCCCTTGAGTGCAATGAACCTAAGACTTATAAAGAAGCATTAAGGTCAAAATATTCTGAAGAATGGATTAGTGCTATGAAGAGTGAGATGGAATCCCTAAAAATTAATCAAACATGGAAACTTGTTCCTAAACCTGCTAGTTGTTCTGTAGTGGACTGTAAGTGGCTGTTTAAGGTGAAACAAGAATCTGGAAGTGTTAGGTTTAAGGCTAGGTTAGTAGCTAAGGGATTTACTCAAAAGGAGGGAATTGATTATGCTGAAATTTTTGCTCCTGTTGTCAAATTCA